GGGGAGCAGGCGGGTACAACGGAGGGAGCACACCCACTCGCTCCTCCTGCGATTGCCCTAACTGTCAGGAGCTGGAGAGGCTGGGAGCCTCCGCTGCCTCTCTGAGGAAGAAGCCGGTCCACAGCTGCCACATCCCGGGCTGCGGGAAGGTGTACGGCAAGGCCTCTCACCTCAAAGCCCACCTGCGCTGGCACACCGGCGAACGGCCCTTTGTTTGCAACTGGCTCTTCTGCGGGAAGCGCTTCACCCGCTCGGACGAACTGGAGCGGCACGTGCGCACCCACACGAGGGAGAAGAAGTTCACCTGCCCCCTGTGCAACAAACGGTTCACGCGTAGCGACCACCTGTCCAAGCACCAGAAGACTCACGCAGATTCCGCCATGCAGGGAAAAGGCGTAGCCGTGGAGGGGGAAACGGATCCTCGGGGCGAGGAGGCCGCGGAGCTCAACGCCGGCGCCGTACCCACCAATCCTGACCAGATAACCAACGGGGAGGAGAAGGCCGGCACGCCAAACGGAGTGGAGAACAGCAGTGGACTGTTGGAGATCTGACTTCATTAAATGTTCAGCTCAAATAATAATAATAATAAAAAATTGTTGTGTTTGAAAGGCATCAAATAAGATTAAAAAAAGAAAAAAAAACGACGAGAGACTGAAGATGTTGCCAGTAGCAACTGCTTCATTACCTATGGATCACACACACACGTACATAGCACACACACACATGCAAACAAGGTGCACACAGCACGAGCGAACCTGCAGAAGTATATATAATAGTGCACAAATGTATGCAGGCACACACAAACATGACCGACCAGGCCCGGACGTACGTGAACGCAAATACATCACGCGTGTCGCCTGGACACATACATATACATGCATACAGAGATAACTATGAGCAAATGTGCAGGCGTATGTAATGCACGCAAACACCTAATGGTAAACATGCTCATGCACACATTGTGCTGGGCCCACACGTACTTTTTCGGCCTTTCAAGTGAGACAAACCACTGGGGAAATTGAACCTGCGAACGCAGAGGAGAGGAGAGCCTCCAAAAGGGAAGCAGCTTTAAGAGGAGACGCGGGGTCAGGAAGCTGGAGCTGACGGAGAGTCGTACGCCTTACTTCCATACTTCTCAGGAAGCTGGAGCTGACGGAGAGTCGAACGCCTTACTTCCATACTTCTTTATTACTCTTGAAACAATGAAAAGACAGACCAACTTACTGCTTCTCGTTGCCAAAGATTTGTGGGTTTTTTTCAATTGTTTTTTGTGGGGGTGGGGGGGGGAGTTTGCATTTTGATTTTGTTCGCTGTTTGCTTCTAATTTAATGTCATATTTACATAAATAATCTAATTTATGTCTTAAATTATACACAAGGAGCATCGTCTTGCACCCTGTATGAATTTTTAGTGCCTGAAAAACGCAAGACTGTTGAAGCTGGCCAAAGAGAAATTAAAATGCATTAAATTAATTAACACCATTTTATTTCTTATTTATTAGTTCTAGCACAGAGTTCCAGGCCTGTGTTTTCTGCAGATTTATTTATAGACTTAAGGTTAGATGTTTGTAAACTATTTCTATATAATCTTTGAGCGGTGAAGTCTTCCACACCTGACGACGCAACGGTAATAAGGGCTTTTCCCTCCTTCGTTTGTACAAACTATATATTTAAAACAATATATAGATACGGTTGGGTGTGTTATTTTTCTACTTTTTTTTTTCCTTCTGTATTTTCTACATTTTGTATAACTTTAAAAAAAACATTAGGAAAAACCTTCAGCAGAAGAGCTTGAGTTGTTGTTCATAATTTCGTGGTAGTTTTTTTTTTTTTTTGTTTGAACTGCTCTGTGTTGGCTGAACTGTTGTGAAAGGAGTGTATGAGATACTGTAAATACTGAAAAAAAAAAACGCATGAAACCTGACACGGGTTCACATGTTGTAAGAGTCGTGAATCATGACATTTTTTGGTGCTTTTCAGAAGTAAAAAGAAAAAAAAAATCTTCCAAAAAAAAACAAAAAACCAACCTGTCGTCATTCTTAAAACAGGATCTTTTAGAAAACCGAAGAAGACGGAAAATGAGATTAAGGATTTTGATCCCGTTTCTCTCTCTCTCTCTCTCTCTCCATTTTCATATTTGACTTCATTCCCTCCCCACCTTTTGGCCGACCCAATACTTTTATTATCTTTCGCAGCACAAACAAAGACATCCACTGAGGTGAAGTCTTAACTGCACACAATGAGCCCCTTTCAGAGCCACTGTAGTAACACTCAGGGACAATTGCTCCACTCTGCAGCTCCACAGAGGTAATTACTCTGGGTGATGCTCCAGCAGAGTTTGTAAAGAGGAGGAAAAGACCGGTCTTAAGACGGGGAGATGCTGAGCTGAGGTCGTATTGTTTACGGAGGGGGAAGATTATCAAACAAAGGACACTAATTAAGACACAATGCCGGATAAAAGTCATGATGACGAGATAGGGAGACCGTCTCTTCCAAAGTCAGACAAAAACCACCAATTTGAGATCGCGTCGCCACGAGCAGAAACCCGACCCTGTGCGTCCGCCTTTTAGGCCACGCGCCAGGTTAATAAAAATATATTTCAGCTGGTTTTTACTTCCCACTTCGTAATAAGAGGAGAAAATCGCCTCAGGGAAAGACTGAGAAAGACCTCGCTTTTTTAAAGGTGTGTTCTGAAGAAGTGCCAGAAAAAAGAATTAAAAAAGAGATATTATTCCCGTCATTGTAGCTGCAACAGGTGGTTTTATTTAAAGGGAGAAAAAGCATGAAATTGTTACAGATTCTGGTGATATTTTCGTACGCGGTAAGGGAGGGGCCACGTGAAATCCTTTTATATTAAAAAAAAAAGGTTGGACATTTCTCATCACAGCAGTAAAGGACCTGCACGCCAGAACCCCCATGAAGCAACCAACTTTTCCTGTTGCAACATTTACACTTCCCTGCCTGCATGGTTCCAATTTAGGGCGTCTAATGAGCTGTAGTTGAGGTCAATTTATATAAAACGTCCCGGGGCCGACTCTGTCATCAGGGACCAACATGTTTATGGTGGTCTGAAGTGGGCGCACGGTCGATTCCACAGCATAAGAAGGCAAACAGGGAGAATGGGCTATGCTGCTACTGGTATTTTCTGCCTTTTTTGCAGCGGCGGTGGGATACTGTAGTTTGAACTTTATTTTTACTTCCTCTAGAAAGGCCAGGAAACATTAAGTGTTGCTTCAAAAAAAGGATCATAAAATGAAAATATACATGGAGTGACACATAAAGGACAATCTGTTCCATATGCTTTGCCCAGTCACAGCCCGGCACTCCTGCGTTTACAGGATTGAATCATCGACCTTAATGGAGCTCCTAAATAAAGTCGGAGCGGGGAACCCTGAATACACCTGTTTAAGCCATAACACGGCCAAGTTCCAGCCTAGCGTGATGTGCAGTATTTTTGATATTTCCTCAGCTGGTCACCACCGTTCCTCCTCCGCAGACACGTTTTAAGTCTTTTTTTTTTCAGTGCTCTCTTGTAGGTCAGGACTGTTGAGGATCAACACCTTCACAGCTATTGTTTTCAAACTCAAAACGTTGTAATTCCTGCAGTATGTCTACCCTCGTTTAAGAATATGAAATGAACAGTAAGTGCCATTCAAACTTCTTCTTGCAATAGGCCTGGGAGGGGCCCGACCCCTACTTTTGGAACCACTGCAATGTTTGAAAAAAAGAAGAAGGTTTGTTTAGGTTAATTGTAGATAATTATGTATGAAATGCCAAATCAAAAAAGTTTTGTCTTTTTTTTTAACCAAATTGCTTTCTTGCCAAAGCTTAATCTTGTTAATCCAACCTTATTTCCTCATAGTTTTTAGCTGAAGTAAAGTCTATATAATTTGTGATCCCACCTTTAACTCTAGGTTAAAACGAGCCGGGTGACTGAAAAACACCATAAACAAAGTGGAGACATACTCCCGCGTTTATTTTCTAATTCATTTTTACACGTCACAACCTCATGAAACATCCTTTAAAAGCCACTTTAATAAGAATGATTCGCAAATTTCAAACTTCATGTCTCTGATTTCAGCGTGTCAGAGGAGACCACACAAGTCAAACTCAGGCCCGTGGGCCAAATTTGGCCCAAATGTGTAATTATATTTGGCCCGCGAGATCATATCAAATATGTACCACTAGTATGTAGCCGCTATATACTGGCAGAATTTGTAGTATTAGCGGTATGTATGCTATGTTATAGCGCATACATTTTGTTTTTTGTTGTTAGCCTGTTGGCCTCTTTTTAATGTCAAAAAGGTTTACATTAAAAAGGAACTCAAAAGGCTACAGATTAAGAGACATAATAAGAAACAAATACCACCAAGTTTATGCAAAACTAAAGTTTGTTTCCATATGAAAAAATTCTACATTACACATCTGGAGAGAAGAGAAAACATGCACAATCGCCTTCAATTTTTTAAAATAAATATTAAGTTTGTCCCGTGACTTTGTCCCAGTTTTAAGCAAAATGCTTGGACTGGTCTCTTTTTCTGACCTTTACTTGGTCCTAACTGAGTGGTCGAGTAAAACAATGAACTGTACTCCGTCTTAGCCACAGGCACCCCCTATCTGCATGTAAGGGCAGGAGGGGGAAGGGTAGGTTGGAGGCCAGACAAAAGCACAGGTGTCTGCAGGTGTGGCAGTCTCCCTGTGACAGAGTGGGGGCAGAAAGGGGAAAAGAATGTCAGCACGCCCACAGGCTCAGCGCTCAGGCCATAAGTAAAAACAGATAAGCTTTTTCAGGCAAAAGGAAAAGGCAATCTGACCGAGGTGAACCATAACATGACCCCCACAGGAGAGGAGGTCAAGCTTGATGAAAGAGGGCCTGAAGAGGAAAACATGCCAGAGATAAAGAGGTCTCTCTTGACCTTTTCGTCTATCAGGCCTATCTCTAACATGTCCCTGTTTCCCCAAGAAAAGTTCAAAGGAAGGGGTTTTTTTTTTGTTTGTTTTTTTTAAATAAAATATCCTTGGGTGCCTTTCGTCATTCGTGCATTCATTTAAAGCGACAGCGCGCGACATGCCTCACGTCCCATCTGATGCAACAACGCCGCATCTTACTGCACCGTGCCCATTCGCCTCTCATTGCACTGTATGAATCATTATTACATTAGCAGTGACACACAGACACAGACACACACACACACACACACACACACACACACCTTCCCCTGTTTGACAAAACAAACAGCAGCCTGGTGGGTCTTGCATCACCATCGCTGTCTCCGCCCGTCCCGGCCGACGGAGTGTCTAAGGGGCGACCTCCCCTACGCTGCCCAGTGCACGGACCGTGATGCTCACTGAGGCCATTTTGTTTATAGCAGCCGTGGGAGTGTTGTGGGTGAGTCTGCGCCCCCTTTAAAAAGATAATATCCTTCCCTTTTTAATGGCCTCCGGATGACAAATTGCTTCCAGGGGAAAATTAAGAGAACCGAATTGCGTGTGTGACACTGTAAGACACATGCAGTCAACTGAAGATGTTTGACAGCCATAATCCACTAATGGTTAGCAGTTAGTGGAGTGAGTACGTTCTGTCAGCTCAATGATTTGGTCGTTGTGCCACATCAGTAAAGAGGATTTGTAGTGTAAATATATTTATGGACGAACATTATTTGACTTTAAATTAGGGATGTGCGGTAATATCGGCCCGATATCATAGCATAGCATAATTATGAAATATCTGTGAAAATCGTTAGCAGGTTTTCCTCTGTTCATGAAAAAGTTCGAATCCCGGTTAGGGTGGTTGGTACCTTCCAGTGGACTCACCACCCGCAGGAAGGTTTGGTACGGTGCAATGTGATGTGGGTGGCGACTGGTTCCCCCGCGACCCGGTAACGGATAAGCGGATGAAAATGGATGAAAATGGATGGATGGATGGATGGATATATATATGTATTGATATCAGTTATCAGACAATATCGGCATATCGCATTTTGGAAAAAATTTCATGTCGGACTCTTTGCTTTTAATGCATATGTTCTCCTAAGGGAAGGAAAACCTCCGTCTCCGTTGGGAAGAGCGAGAAAATCATTTCTAACCTAATGCTAATATGCTAACACACTGCTCTTTCCTTTTTCAAACTGCTCCGTATCTTGATGGTATTCTGACTGACATGCAGCCCAAAACCCATTCTTATTCGCTTTTCGTTTTGTTTAAGCCACTAAATACTTCCTCGGAACATTTAAGATGTAGGGATTTAAGCCGAGGCGGCGTAGACGAGCATGTACGAACGCAAAACCCAAAGGGGGAAAAAGGTAGAGGGGGGGAAAAAAAATCAAAGAGACCTGCCATTAAAAATACAACAGTAAGTGAGAAATGAGAAGGATGGCCAAATAGCACAAGAATTTGGATGGGAATTAGCGGAGTGAGGACAGAGGGGAGAGAGACAGTGGGACAGACTGACAGTGAGGGAGAGAGAGGGAGCGAAAATGAGTGATTTGGGTTGGAAGCAGGAGCACAGAGCCAGGGTTGGCAGGGTTTTTGGTGGAGGAGTGTGGTGGTTCAGAAGTCCTCCAGCGCGAGGCGCCAGTGTGTCCGGCGGGGGCCCTGACCATGAGCTGCCTCACCCCCCAGAGCCATGGCCACAAGCCTCCCCCCTCCCCCTTCACCACCAGCACCGCCACCCATCCAACCCAAAACCCACTGGCAGGCAGCGCTTCGGTGAAGCTGCTGCTGCTGCTGCTGCTGCATGTTTATTTAATATTCTGAAGAAATTGAAATATCTCTGTGGCTTAACTCGCACACATACACAATTACACATCCCTCACTCGCGCACGCACGCACGCACGCACACACGCGTGCAGCAGAAACACACGCACTGCCACCGCAATATATAAATAAATAAAGTCAGAGTAATAATGTTCTCTTGATCTGGGGCCAAGAATAGAGACGGAGAAAATCTTTTTCAAATGGTGTTTTCAGACGCACAGAGGGAGGAGCGTGAGTGTCTGACACTGCATGTTGTCTGATCGTGTCTCACACTGATTCCCACAGAGGGAAGGAAGAGCGCTGACAAAGGGGTTGACAAACAA